TCAACGCTGACACCACTTCCTTGAAGGACACCGTGCTTTTGAACGCATGTTGTCTGTCCTTGCTGTGACAGGCACAGCTAACAGTTCGACACCGAAAGGTGGGTGGGTGTCTGGCCACTGTCACTGTCTTCTCCATCTTCAAACGTGTTTGAGTCCATTCACAGACTGACACACCTCCAAGCACAACACACGGTGCGCCGTTGTACACATGCATGTCCACACATCCGGAGGCCAGTGACAGCGTCTGTAGATTGTCCCTTCCTCCTCAGCAGCGGTTATGAAACGGAAGAACATCCTGAGATGGAAAACCAGAGTGTAAGCTCCTCATCCACAGAGGGGCCTACGCTTGACTTAATCTCTCAATGTCCTTTTCCTTGGGAGGTGGCGAGCGAGGAGCAGGGCAGTCGCCCGGGAGCCAGGGAACAGCCGCTCAGTTCGACACCTCAGCCGTCTCCTTGGTCAAGAACATGGATGCAGACAACCATATCCCAGCGCGTCACAGCCTTTCTCCTGCTTCACTGCGCTCTTACACCAGAAAGAGGAAACCACCAACTCACGCTTTCTACAAGATACCCTGGTGGGAGATTTCACCCTAGAACTACCTCTAAAAGGCAAAACTGCCCCCACCTTTGGCAATTATCATTCCTTGGTTATTGGTTGTTAACCCCGTGTTTGCGAACAAATGAAGTGTTCAAGAACAAGAACAAGGAAGGACAGTGGCCTCCCGGAGGTGAACAGCAGACCTGGTTTCTTTAATGCCACGCTTGCCCCAATCCAGTACATTTCAGGTGACTCTATAAAAGCTTAACCTACATCAGTACAAACGCTTGCGCATTAGCTAGTTCACTTGTTTCAGGATTTTGAGATAACATCAACAATTATAATAAGCAGTAGTTCAAAAGAAAAAAAAATGCACACGGCCTGGGTGGCGGGAAAGCTGAGCTAAAATAAAAATGCATGGCGGTCGCCAAAGCCAATAAAGCAAAGACAATAAAGTCACTCGCCCACAAAGAAGGTTTTGTTAAATACAGCCCTGCAGCTTGACTCAACTTATCAATTGGTATTCCTAATTTCCCCTCTCCCTACAGTGACTAGGGGGGAAAGGAAAGTTCCCACACACATTTCCCTGTAGGAAAACACAGAGTTAAATATATCTCCCAACTCCTTTGCTTCTGCAGCTCCCAAGCAGAAAATTCCCAGGGCCAGAACACAAATTGAACATTAACCTCAAAGGCATGGACACTCTCCACCCACTCCCTTCAGCGGTCTTTACTTGATGAACGTCTAATGAATCCCATACTCTGCAGTTCAGCCCACCTTATCCACAGCGAGGAGATGCCCCAGTGTGTGAGAGAGCTGATGTCCACAAGGGGAGCTGGCAGCACGCTGTCCATGGCGGGCGGGAAGAGGGGTGCCCGATGATCACGGAACCCAAACATGGTAGCCGTCCTTCTATTTCAGACTCTCCAGAGACACCGTGTTGGAGGTGGGTTTTGAAGGGCAGGGGTGCACAGCCCTCCAATCCCCTTCCAGAGTATGTCAGGTACCGGGAGAGGGCAGCAGAGCCTCCTAACCGGCACATGGAATTCCTTCATCCTAGCATCAGGGGATTTAAACCCAGGCATGTTTCCCCTTGTCCAACAGCTGTATTTACAACAAACATGAACACAAAACAAAGTTGGAGTGCAGCATGGGAAAACAGTCACATATACAAATACAAGAAAGGTCTATTATAAAAGCCACACGACATAACGTAAGGGGAAAAGTGGGTTGCTTTTTTTGCTTACAAAGACCAGATGAATAATGCAGGCAACAGTTTCAGAGATAAAATTGAAACACAAAAGAAGCTAGGGAAACCCACCTATTTTCCTAAAATTCTTGTAAAGTTCAATTCCATATAGAAATTATATCCAGTATCTCATCGAGATTTTCACAAAATATATAGAAAAAATGTCCACGTATTTAAATTAAAAATTGAACTACATCCCTAACACCTCTTTCAGCTTTAAATGGCCCAATGGGATTATTGGGAAATATGTTCCAATTTGGAAGTGAATTACATAAAGAAAACATTTTTCCTCTAAAAATACCTGTTACTTTTGTAAAACATCATTTCATCTTTTCAGTGCATGTAGAAAATCACTCCACTCAAAAAATATATTGGAGACTAAAGAGTAAGTCAAACACAGGAGTAGAATGACAGGTAAATGGTCTGCGTTTTCTTCATCGAATCTCCATACTGTCTTTTACAGAGAATGGCCGAGAATTCTACACATTGTTGCCAACCGGGGCTTTTTGGCGCAGTGTTCTGAGAGGCTGCTGTCAGCCGCAGCTGTTACACTGGGTTCTGTGGCAAACACACCGTGATCAGAACTCACCACAGACTCTTCCTGTGTGTGTAGAAGGCACCTGACACGATGGCGTTGAAGTCCAAGCAGTCCCTGACAGGTACACCTTTGTGGTTTTCAGCTTCCAAAGGCGGTACCAGGTTCCCATTCCGTGGAACCTCTGTAACCCCAGAGATTCCGGTAGCTTGCACTACAGCTCGTGCCCTTCTGTGCCCAGACTGTCCAAAGAGCGTTCCTTTCTCCTACGCATCAGGGAGCCACGATCACAACTGCTGCCTCTGCACACAGGCACTGAGAAATGCCGCCGCCGCGGAGCCCAGCAGTCACGCCGCCCCTGCCGCTGAATCCGGTTATTCTCGATCACTTTAGAAAAAGAACCAGTTCCATCCCGAATCGATCTTCGCATTTTCTTTCAAAGGCAGTCTTAAAAATTAAAACAAATGACCCTCTCTTCTTGCCCTTCCGCCTCCAAACTATCAATACAGCAAAAGCCACAGACTCACAGACAGTGTTGGCTACAGAATGTCCCAGATTCTTGGGCTGTTTAGGATCTTCAAGTTGTGACTTCATCCAAAGTTCCAAGCCTTGACTAGCCAGACTTCCAGTTAAATGGAAAAAAATATTGGTAGCCGAATCTTCTGAATGGAGGTTGATGGGGATCCCAGCTGGGCAAGGCTGCCCTTCATCACACTCTCTTCCCCTTCTCATCATGACGAGAGACCCCCCCGGGGACCCCTGAACAGAGCGTGGAAACCAGTTCTGTGCTCCTGACTCTCAACTCCCCATGTGCTGAACATGCACGAGGACAGACACCGTGGGGTCAGAAGAAAAGAAAGGGGAACGATGACTTTTCCACGTGATTCACTGCTTCTGAATATTCAACTAGCTGTGAGTGGTGTTTCAAATGACACCTTCAAGCTCTTCTGGTGCGGACCTGTGGTACATTTCCACGAACATTCACGGCTCTCTGCACGGTGGGAAAGCACACGTGTACCTCACCTTTGGTGCTCCCCCTTCTTGAGGCACCCAAACTAAAGACTGAGCGGCTCAGCTTTGGGTTGGTTTTCCTTTAGCCAGGAGGCAGCTGGGGATGAGTTGTCTACTCTCCGCGTGCGGCCTCACTCCTCTAACCGTGTACCTTTCCGGGTGCCCTGTCTCCAAATGGTGACTCTGTAGAATCAGTAACACCAGGTAAACACGAGAAAGTGTTCTGATATCCAAATCAATGCCACTCTCTGCATCTTCTTAAAGTTCATTATTTTTTTAGAGGAAATAATAAATAAAGGTTTGGCTTTCTGATTGGGTTTTTCCCAAAGGAGATCATCTCTATAGGAATACTGAAAATAAATTAAGGGATATATACCTGTCTTCCAGCTTCTTTTACCAGCTTGCTGGCCCGTGGGCCTCCTAGCTTAGCACTGCTCTCTGCATTTACCTTTTCTCCGGCCCTAAAACATGGCTTCACTTCACGGTCCAGCTTTACACTCCCAACTCCAGTGACCATCCCGAAGGCAGCGGCCTGACTTGTTTGTTGAAATAGCTTGCAGCCTCCAATACAAACATTGGTAGTGCCCAAAATGATGTTAACTACTCATTTCTGGCCACAATAGAATATGACTTAAGAGGAAAAATACCCAACCCAGCTGCTCGTCTTCAAAGGCCAAAGGGAAGTTTTATTATAAGGTCTAATATTTTGAATGAGGGTTTGGCTTAACGTTTCCTTGGATATCCTTTACATTTTCAAGATCTGGGGACAGCCACTCCATGTAGGCAGACCATGCAAAAGTGTTGATTCTGAGCTTTGATACATGGAAATAGCTGGGTCGGTTCCTTTCCACGTGTGGTGAGTCGGCCCAGGTCACATGTGGTGGGCAGAGGAATGACAAGATGTAATCAAGGAAAACCGAGGAGATGGCGAGGGCCTGGCTGGAGCCGCGGACCCTGGGGATTGCTCAGGAAGTTCTGTTTCCTATATGAAGACACAAGTAAGTGCCTAAGCCCTGCGTGCTTCCCAGAACTCAAGCTCCGAGTCGTAAGAGCGGCAGCCTGGTTCCTTGAGAGAGCCCCCAAGTCCCAGAAATGCACACGTGTAGCCTACGGAACACCCAGGCATGCCAAGATTACTGCCCACTGTCCGCACTGCCCATACTGACAACTGTTAAGAAAGGAATACAAACCTCCCCCAAATCGAACTGTAATCTCCCAAGAATAAAGGGCTCAATGTCCTAGCTCGTGACAAGATGAACAATATCAATCTGACATTCCTGGGGAAGCAGACTGGATGTTTTGAAATTCTATTAACATATGTTGGGTTACAAGGACATATTGATTTCTTTAAAACACACACGCACACGCACACGCACACACACATATATATATCCCTCCGAAGTCCTTGGCCTGTGTTTCTACACAGGCCACGTCCTCTTCACCTCAGAGAGAAAAGAGGATGCTAGAGAAATGCCGCCTGTAAAAGGAGCGTGGGCGGAAGTGAACGACTAAATCCCAGCTAGGTTTTCATTCCAATGACTGATCCAAAGACCTGCATGGTAAATGCTGTTCGCAGAGCTGTGGACCACGAATCTCTAACCCTCAGAAAAATGACCCATTTCTGTAGATACCAGGAACAGGTAGGGGGGATGGATCCGCAGGCAGTGGGCATCCCCCAGAGAATAATTTCATTTTCAAGGCTCTGGAATTCAGATTTTATTTCCCTAGATGACGAGAAACACCTTTTAGGTAAGTTTTCAGATCGAATACTTAAACATGCTTTCCCCAGGGGCTTCCGAGTGTCCTTCGAAGTGTGATTTCTGTTTGCTTGATGATGCAGTCTGAAGAACACGGAGACAGCGTGGGTGCCTGGCAGACAATGTATCTGTGTCTGCGCAGAAAGGAAGGTGTACTGACGGGCCGTGCAGACAGAAGGCGAAGCCAGCTATACAGCTGTTGTGGTCCCGCAGGGGAGACAGAGTTTTCACTAGAGGCTCTAGGGCCCAGAAATTCAACCCGGGCTGGCAACCCAAGATCATCACATCAGAAAAAAGGCAATTTGCATCGACCCCTTAAAACAGAAATGTACTGATGATTAAAGAAAGGATTAAGGCAAAGCAGCCCCATCTCTTCAAGTCCAGAGATGGTATTCAAAGGGTAGGCCGAGGTCCCTGTCACCATGAGGGCCTGGAGCTCCCAGTCCCCTCAGAACAAGTATTTTGACCCCAAGTCCATGGAGAACAAGTATTTTGACCCTACACCGTTCTTTCTTACTTTCTTCAAAAATGGCCAAGGATGAGGTGGATGAGTTGAAAGATTTTAAGAACTCTGTCTGCCGTCTGCTTCTGAGGTAAGTATGACCTCTTGAAGTCTCAAATCCTAACACAGTTCAGGGAGAAGGAAAACCAGATGATTAGCACCCAGGTTCATGACTCTCTGCACATGAATCACACCACAGAGAGACACCAAAAGAGAAGCTAAGAGACAAGCATGCAGTAATGTCTCAGAGAAGTGTGCCTTGCATTTCCAAGTTGAGGTAAGTTATGTTGGTTATTGCAAAAAAAGAAAAAGAAAAAGTAGGCCCTCAATTTAATCTGAAGAAAACTGTTCCATTGGCTTCCAGAGCAAGGAATACTTACCTGAGATTAAGAGGCAATCGTCATGGGACTGAACAGTCTCTCTCCTTTCCAAATGCATCTTTCTACATCCATCTTCCTAATCTGCCTCAATAGCAACTGAGCTAAATTCTCACTAAATGGAAGAACTCTATACACAGAGTCAATGAATTATTGAATTTGATGGTCTAGGGCAGGTGTTGGCAAACCATGGCCTAGGGGCCAAATCTAGCCCATTGCCTGATTCCCTAAATAAAGTTTTATTGAAACACAGCCCCACGCTCATTCACTGACATATTGTTATAGATGCTTTTGCACCTACTAGTTGCAACAGAGACTGTATGGAACACAAAGCTAAAGATATTTACTATCTGGCCCTTTGCAGAAAATGTTTGCCAGTCCCTGATCTAGAATGTCACAGTCCGCATTCTACAGAGCAGAGCTTATTGACCCTATGGGGTCTTTACACTGGGCTCCCTTCCCCTGCCCCTCAACAACGGATGTTTGTAAAACTGTGTTCATGTACAATGTGCATTTTCCTAGGGAAAAGTACTAGAAATTAACAGATTTCCAGAGGAATCCAGAGTACCCCCATTAAAAAGTGTCTTTAGTTGTCAGCACATTTAACAATGCTAACACACATACACATACACACACAAACCCCACACATACTACACACACCACACACACATATACCACACCCCCCCCACACGCACCCCCCCACACACACACCCACACACACACACACACATCCCACACCCCACATATACACACACCCCACAAACACCCCACATGTGCCACACACACATACCACACACATCCCCCATCCCCACACATACACCCCCCACACCACACACACCGCACCCCACACATACACCCCACACAAACCCACACACACACCATACACACCACACACACCACACACATACACCCCACACACCCCACCCCACACCCCACACATACACCCCACACACTCCCCACATGGACCCCACACACACCACACACACATACCCCCACATATACACCACACACACCACATACACCCCACCTCATACCACACACATACACCCCACACAAACCCACACACACACCCCACACACCCTACACACACCCCCACACATACACCACACACACATACACCACACACACCCCACACCCCACACCGACACTGCACCCACCACACATACCACACACACCTACATGAGAGGAATACCGACCCTCCAGAATAAAGTATTTTCTTTTCTCTTCTATCAGGTTTGGTAGCTTCCTCTTTCTACATTTACTCTGGCATTTTTCCACCTGAGTATGTAAATGTTCAGGGGTCCAACTGAAGACTGGGCATTCTACGTGCTAATTCAATAAAAGTAGAAGATTCCTTAAGCCAGCAAATCTCCCTTTAATTCATAGACAGACATTAAGAAGGCAGAATCCCCAGCACAGAAGAGGTTTAATTCATTTTACTAGATCGACCACTAGCTCTAGTGAATTTCATGGATCTGTGAACCCTACCTCCCAGGTCAGGGAGTGACATCGCCAAGAAAGCATTTGGGTAGGAAATCGGGAACCAGGCATCCACTGCACTTTCAGGTAAGAGATAAAACGCTTTTCTCGACATTGTGGAAAGAAAGAGAGTAGCTTCTGAGCAGAGCAGATGAAGCCCCTTGGTGAACAGAAGCATCTTCAGGTTCAACTATGAAAACACAGCCCCACCTTGCCTCCCTGGTGCTTATGTTCCACGGATACAAAACCAACTGCATTTGGAAAACCAGGGCCCGTTAGTCTTCGTGCTGGCCTCCTCTAATGCTGGGGCTGATGCATATTTCATTTCCCAGATAATGACTATGGCACTGCAGGACTGATGAACAGCAAAGGAGGCTAGGACCTCAATTAAAAAGCTAATCAAGCAGAGACAAGCAAAAACAATAATAATGACGGCAAAACACACAGAGTGAAGTAATACAGAAGATTGAGTGGCCAAGAATTCCATTTTGAGGATCACCAACTATGGACATCGCAAACATCAATATAACGTACTGATGGTCCCCAAACTGTGTGCTGAGACATATGAAGCAGGGCAGCAAACCACAGTGGTACCACCAGACCACGTAGGTTTGAAGGAAACACAGCAACTCTGTAGGACACTGTGCAAACAACCATGATTAAGCTGGACCTAGTTACCTACTAAGTGGAATTATTAAGTATTTATTTGGCCTAGGGTACCATGAAGAAAAATCACTAAGACAACTAATGGCACCATGAAGAGGGAGTTTGGGAATCCCTGATCCCTGCCATACACTTTCTTTTTATTTTTTATTTTTTTGGTGAGGCTTGGAGGATAGACAAGAACAGTAAAATACAAGCAATATTGAGCTCTCTCCACACATACCCATTGTCCATTTCAAAGGGCTTCACAAAAAGACAGAAGCTGCATTACCCAATTCTCTCTGACTATATCAGTGTTACCAAGTGGTCATTAGAATGATGGACTGGTCCTCCTTATCAGGGCTGTCCATCATGGTTAAAAGATGAGTCCTAAGTATGAAATCAAGGACAATCCACAGATGTTTCATCATTAAACGTTTACATTAGGTGAGTTCTTTCTCCTTCAAAGTCGTCAATTTGGGAAGCTCTACACTTATTCCAGGAAGGCAGACATAACTTAAAGACAAATGCACACTTTCTGGGGGACATACACATTTGAAATCATCTTCAGAGCCCATGACATGGTCTTTTAAGAAGGCTCAGTAATGGTAAAACTTCAGCTCTGAGGGCAGCCTGGAATTCTAGAAATTGCTAAACACAGCTGGGTGCTAAGTCTGACAATAAAAGGCAGGTACAGCCAATAAGAATATACCTCGTAAGGATTTTTGTAAAACAAACAATGATTCCGCATGTTATGCATATGGGAGAGGAAATGAATTCGGAAGCCTTTGTTGAAAGAGAAGTGGCAAACATATTTAGCAGCATTACTTATATAAATACATAGCCTTTCACAGTGGCTACTCCGAAGGGCAATACTATCGATGCATACACACACAAGGCAGCTGTCTTCAAGCCGGCCCATTGCTTTTTTGGCACACCTTGGAAATCAACAGTATATCAAGAAGGACATTTTTATGAACATAAAGCCAATTTATAATATGGACAATTATATGACATCAAAACAAATACATTTGTGAAAAAAGAGCAAGGTCTCTTTCGTAGAGACACAATAACTTTCTAATACACTGACATAGACAGGGCTAATATTCAGATGGTCCATGCTGCTCGCTCGCTCTCTCTCGCTCTCTCTCTCTCTCGCCTCTCTCGCTCCGTCTCTCTCTCTCTCTCTGTGTGTGTGTGTGTCTCTCTCTCTCTATATATATATATAGACACACACACACATACACACACAAAAACATACATATATATGTACCCATACATATGTATATGTGTGGGTGCATAGATGTATATGGGTGCATATGTGTATGTATATGTATACATCTATAAGTGTGTATGTGTATAATATATATACACACACCTGTACATGTGCATATACATACATATATATGCATGTATATATGTACAGGAGATTCTCAACTTATATAAACTTAAATATAGCTTATGCATCTCTATATTTATTTTAAAATTAGTTGTTTGTAACTGATAACACAGTTCTTAAAAAAAAAAAGCACATTCTAAATTTAGACTTGGAAGGCTATTAAGCCATTTGACTTTGGTACATAAGATACTTAATCACCATGTAGCACATGATTTCTGTGGGAAAAGACATCCTATTTCAAATGAGTCTTCCAGGAACCTGCCTTCTCTGATGCTGGCAAAGATGTCGCCAACGGTGAGGACAAGGAAAGAAGTGGGCTCCTGCTCCTCTCTACAGTCACTCCTCTCTCTCTGCAAATAGTCAAGAGAAATTTTAGGTCAATTCCTTCTTGAGGAGGCACTAGACCAGTGTTCTCAACCCTGGTGCACATCAGACTCATGAGTGGCTTGTAAAAACTACCAACTCCCAGGCCCCACCCAGGAGCGATGAAATCCAAATCTCTGGGACCCTGACACTGATGGTGTTTCCAAGTTCCCAGCAATTCAATGTGCACCAGGGTTGAGGACCATTGACTAACTCCTTCTCTACCTGAGAATGATTATTTTGCAAGTCCAGGCCCCAGGGATCACTGACTGGAGAGGCGTACACATGAGAAACACACTTGGTTAAGAATATTTCCAAGCAGAAATCACACTGAACAACAGCTAAGAGTTATCTAACCCAGACGAGAGATGTCTGACTTTGCATAGTTCACAAAGCTGCAATGGAAAGACCTAAGATTTGTTTTCTACTACTTTCTTTTGGCATAAAATGGATGAATAAAGCAAAAAAATAGTTGTGATTGTTTTCCTCTCTGACTCAGAGAGGAACCTGCAGATTTTGGAAGGGGGATCAGAAAGTGAATGGCCATGATCACTAGGATAATACCCCTTTTCTGGCTGGAAAAAGATGAGAACAGGGGGAGCTTCAACTGATGTTGAATCCAACAGGTATCTCTTGGAACTGAACACAAAGACATGTATGGAAATGCCATACCCACTCTGGGCAACTGCAATGAGCTAGAGAGAGGTCAAGAGCAAAGAGAAAATGCAAACACAGAAAAATATACGATTGTACTTCAAAATCCAAAAAGGGAAGAAGGGGAGGATTCGAGAGAGCAATCCTCTCTCCATATCTGTGAACTTGAGGCACAGAAAGAAACAGTGTGTGTTCTCTTCTTCCTCTTTTCATCAAAGTCTTCTGCCCTCGTATTGCAAGAGTAGCCTTGCATTAACACAATGTCCCAAAGACATGTTTCCTGGTTATTATCGGTAGTATTCTCCCCGTGGATCACTTCGCTCCTTGATCTTCGAGGAACCTAAAGCCCCAAATCAGAGAATCCATGGGTGTGTTTGGCCATGAGGAAGAGTCCTGTTCCTTGCTTACTCAGGCTGCTAGGAATGCAGAGGGGAGCGAGCCTCCTGCTGTGGAGCGAGCTACTGCATGCTGCGAAAGAGGGCTGTGGCCTCAAGTCAACTCGTGGACGTTTGCCAGTCTATTCCCAGGAATTAATTCACCCCTCCCCATTATCTCCTCATCTTATCAAAGAACAACTAAGTGCCTTTAATTTTCTTCTACTGCAGCCCTTCCATGAATAGTAAGGCTTCTTCATTGAACAAGAAAACAAAACAAGATAAAAAAGCAAAAGAGCACGTGACCTACAAGGCAATCTTTGGGGTCTGTCCATTGTAGGAAGGGCAACAGCAAAAGAAACCAATTCTCTGGGTGGCTTGATGTGATATTCCCCCTTGGGACTGACAAATGTCCTCCTTACTAAATACAGATGTTCACAGAAGCCACTTGGCAGAATGTGCGACTTATCAAATACACACACACACACACACACACACACACAGAAAGACAGGTGATAGAAAAATCACATCACAAATCACATTCCATTAATATTACACCACAAATGTCAAGAAAACCAAATCTATGACTCTTTGAGCTACAATAAAAGTGATCGCATGTTTTCCAACGCTGGGGAAAGAGTCTGACCAGGACACCTTGCACTTTACCTGGAGTATCCGGAGACTACCCAGGAAAGAGCAGGAATTTGAGAACATGCAGCAGCCACAACAACTGAAACAGATATTTCACAAGAAATGCTTGTTGACATTTTTATAATACTCTTAAAGATGCATATTAAATAATTTCTTCTGGACCATAGACACAATTGAACTTAAAAAATAAAAGCCCTATAAATATTGACAACCCAACCTTTTGTATCTCCTTCCTTGCATAAAATGGAATCTTTTCAACCAAGCGCTTAAACATAAATATTAAAATAATAAGTGGGACAGACTACAAATCTACTTACAATTTCATCACTACTAGCACCTTTTTACCAGGGCCAATGCATTCATTTTGCAAAGAACAAGAGAACTCTGAGAAGCTTAAGGACTCATTATGACACATCATTAAATATTTAATCACCTTTTTAAGTCCTAAGCCTTTATCATATTTCATCCATCTAGACAGTTCATTCTATACTATAGATTCCAAGGCCCCTTTTGGAGTGGGGGAAGAAAAAGAAAATAAGGAGAAAACAGCCTTCTGAGAGGCAGGGTTAAATTATTTCAAGGATGAGTTTCTATTGGCGCTTTAGTGAACCTGCTTCACCCCGTAAACCCACCAATCCACAGGAGGGTCAACCGATCGAGTCCATTGTATTTAGTCTCCAATAATCAGTTTTACAAAAGATGCCACGTCTGTTGCTTTGGATTCATGTAGGGTGAAAAATGGATGTTGCTGGGAAAGAAAAAAAAAAATACATGGTATTAATATTTGTCACTGATGATGTATGAGATTAGCTGATTAATAGATCTCTTTGGTAAACACGTTAAGCACCCCTATCAGGGCTAAACTGGACTCTTCCTGTCCCATCCCAAAATCAAGCTCGCATCTGGCGACACAAACGTTTTAAAGATATCTCTGCCTCACTGCCACTCGCCCGTTCAGATATGTTCCCACTGCAGCAGATCTATTGCTTAAAAATATATATGAAATGAGGCTACATAAGATCCCATCTATGATAAAATACAAAGATCAGCAAAGACAATCCAAACTGCTTTACACATAACCCCTGCCCTACAAAGTAATTTTAGACGGAGACACTAATAAAATAATTAGGAAGTTCATGGGTTTATGTGGTCATTTCTCGGGAAATGGGTGGTAGAATAAAAGACCGATTTTGCGGGGCAGTAAATGTGCAAGGCGTTGCCTGCCCCTGACACCGGAGAGCTGGTTTAGACAGAAAGAGTTACCAAAGCCACTTTCTAAGCCCCATTTCCAGCCACGTATGTGAGTTACACTTATGCTTCTCTTGAGGAAGAGTTGATCCTTCTGAAAAGTAAGGTAGACCTTCAAACTCTAGGTGTGTGCGGAGAAAACTCAACCCGGAGACCAAAGATTGAAAAGCAAAAGAAATGGTCTCTGTCCCTGAAGGTCAGATTGCATCATCTGCACGTTGCTGGGGGAACAGACACAGTACATGACAGGCCACACACTGCAAAACAGTTTTGAAGGAAACAAAGCTGTTTACTCTACACCAGAACTATCCTCCCTGAATAACTCAATTTTGTCACAATGAGCGCCCGGTTGGCTGTCGCACTGGAATCTTCCACCTTAGATTGGAAGGCGAGACATGGGCTCATGATGCACAGTTGTCACAGAGGAAAGAGGACCAACTCAGAAGGACATTCCTCCAGGTGGAACCAGTGCCGTGCCCTGCTCCCCACTGCCTCAGCCTCCACGGCTCCCTTCTGGGGTGTCCGCTGGTATTTCCAACGACGAGTAGAGCAGCTAAATATGAGCATTTTGCATGCAGACAAGCACGTACATGACTCACTCTGTTTCCCTGACTTGGGATTTTAGTTTATAACCTTCCTGTTGCCCAGCTGTGGGGTTTCTAATTATATTTGTTGTAAAACTGACAGCAGAGGGCTGATGAGTCAGCCCTGTGGGGAACTGAGTGCCCACCCATGGAAGTTTTAGGAAACAATGCAAATGGGAAAGGAACAACAATAACAACCAATAAAACCCCAAAGAAGGTAGGTGGTCACTGTTCAGTATCAGGACACAGAACATGGGAAAGGTTTTTTGCTTTGGCCCATCTGAGACAGAGGTCGGGTGCTGGCTCGGAACCTCACACCCATGACATGAACTGAAGCTCTTGATGTCGGGCCCTTCGCCCTGAGCTCTCTGGATAAATAAATACAGCACTACTTCTGATCACTAACCACTTACACAGCACACTTACCAAGTGCTTCACCATCGTGCTTATTAGCCTTCCCACATCCTCTTGACATTTGGCGATCTTTTAATGTACTTAAAAGCATTTTACTATCAAAACAGGACACGTAAACCTCAGATTATCTCAGTGACTGCTTCCCAGTTCCTGCCAGCCCCATCTTGCCTCTGGTTCTGCTGGTGGCTTTCAGCTCAGTGGATGTAGCCCAAGTCTGTGAATGAATTCAATAACCTGACCTGACATCTTAGAAAAAACAATTCTCAGACATCTTTCAGTTTATTCTCAGGCTGGGAAAATGCTGTGACAGCCAGAGAACAGAGAGAGGGGAGGCAGGCAGGCAAAATGGAAAGTGTGACTCTCCTTCTTCTGTGGGTTTACAGGCTATAAAGGTTAGGGGGGGACCCAGTCCCTTCTATAAGCACTAAGAATAGCAAGGACAGCAACGAGGAGATGAGCAAATTAGACACCATGAAATCATCTCCAGGATGGGTTTCTCAAAAAAGGAGCTAGGTGCAAAAGGAAGGGCTGTACTAGCGGTTGTGCCTGGAGAAAACATGGAGATCTGTGAACGTGATGCCAGGAGCACTGGAACAAGCTGCAATCACCCATGGTCTCCAGATCCTATGCACAGCACCTCATCCCTCAAGACAGTGGTTTTCTGTGGTTTCCGTCCTCCTTAACACTGCGATTCAACCTGGAAGGTCCCAGGATATTTGGAGAACATAATCACCTCACTAGGCAATCACTTGCCTTGCCTGATTATCATCTGGGACAGGGGTCAACAATCAATGGTCCAGGAGCCAAATCTAGCCCACTGCCTATTTTCCAAAGAAAGTTTTATTAGCACGTGGCCACACCCATTTGTTTGCATACTGACTGTGGCTACTCTTCCACCCAAACACAGAAGTGAGCAGTCCCATAAATTCCGAAACACTCACTATCTAACCGTTTACAGAAAAAGCTGGCAAGCCCCTACTCTAGAAGAACAAATCCTACTGAGTCTTGTCCCCCAATGGGAGTTTGAGAGAACAAGCAAATGAGACGATATGAAAGCAAATACACCCACTCAATCCAAGTTAGAAAGAAAAACATTTGAGATTTCTATAAGAGGTACATGTCTGGGTTGGGGCCTTAATTATAGTGTCCTTCACCTGAAAAAAGGATTTCTGTTTTCTTTTCTACCTCTTCGCCAACTCCTACAATCTAAACAATGGCCTCTCAGCATGCTTTCCCAATGTCAAGTCAAAGAGCCTGGACTCAGATTTTCCACTTAAAAACCTCAATTCCACAGACAAGCAGGGAGCAGTGATGGCCTTAAAAGGCAAGTCCAGTTGGAGCACCGCAGAGACGAATGCCGTAAAAGGAAAGGGCGGTCCACACGACTTTACAGCACTGATGTGTAGGCCACGGAAGACCACCATGTGAGAAGGCACTGGAAAGGGGAATCAACGTCAGCGCCTGATGCATAGTAAGCTGAACTCAGCAAGTTTTCTCCAGTGTGTCCCACTAAAACCTCTAACAAGGGGAAAAAAATGGTTTGCATTTTAAATAGTCAGAAACATACAGGAAATATTCTTCTTTTATCTGAAAATACTGACAAACAAGGCAAGTTTCAAACAGAAGTTCAGGCTCCATAGGACCCCACAGGGCTCACCCATGTCTATTGTACTTTAAGTAAAATTTATTTTTAAATGCTCTGAGGGCTACATAAGCAAACCAAGAAGGGGAACCCGGGACTGAAAAGGCCGCCAGCTGGCTACTGAACCCTAACCGGGGAGAAGGAGCCGACGCAAGCATGTAGTGCGCTAAGGTTTTCTCAAGCATCGTTCATCTTTCTCCCTCAGCTGTGGGTCGCAGTTGAGTAAAATGGGGAGACTGTTGAGCTGCTCTTCAGAAAAGGCAGGGTTCCTTTTCAGCCACCCAGTTGGAGAATGGTTCGGATTTAAAGCTTAACCAACAGAACTAAAAGTCCATTGGATTGGCTGTCGTAGATTCGGTTTTCCCTCACTCTTCCTGGCTTGACATCTCCAATCTATACCTTTTCTCTTTTTTCCAGCTCTACTGAGATAGGACATACAACACTGTAAGCTGAAGGTGATAATTTGATACATCTGTGTATGCAAAGTAATCATGACCACAATAAGGTTGGTGAACATATCCATCACCTCACCTGGTTACCATTCTCTTTAGGTTGGTGAGAACATTTAAGAGCTACTCCCCTAGCAACTTTCAAGTACACAGTACAATGTTGTCAACTGTAATCACCCTGTTGTACATCACACCCCCAGTATCTCCTTCTTACACCTGGAAGTTTATACCCTTTGACCACTGTCACCCATATTCTCCACCCACCACCCCTGGCAATGACCCATCTACTTTGTATTTCCATGATTTCTTTTTTTTTTAGATTCCACACAGATGCAATCATACAGTATTTGATTTTTTCTGTCTGGCTTATTTCACTTAGCACAATGCCTTCAAGCATCATCCATGTTGTTGCAAAAGGCAGAATTTCCTTCTTTTGCGGCTAAATAATATTCCATTATGTGTGTGTGTGTTTGTCACTATTTCTTTATTTATCCATCAACAGACAATTAGATTATTTCCATGCCGTGGCTACTGTAAATAACACTGCAATGAACAAGGGGGAACTAATACCTTGTCGAGACAGTGATTTCATTTCCTTCATATACATACCCAGAAGTGGAACTGCTGGGTCATATGGTAGTTATAATTTCAATTTGTTTAAAGAAATTCCATATTGTTTCCCACAGTGGCTGTACCAATTTACATTCTCACCAACAGTGCACAAGGGTTCCCCTTTTCTCCACACCCCTACTAACACTTCTCTCTTGTCTTTTTGATAAAAGCCATTCTAACAGGTTTGAGATGATATCCATGATGGTTTTCATTTGTATTTTTCTGATGATTTGTAATGGTGAGAACCTTTTCATGCACTCATTGGCAAAAATAACAAGTGGGATTACCTCAAACTAAAACGTTTCCGCACAGCAAAAGAAACCAACCACAAAATGAAATGGCAATCTACAGAATGGGAGAAAATATCTGCAAACCATATATCTGCTAAGGGGTTAATATCCAAATAATATAAAGAACTCATACAACTAAATAGCAAAATAACAAATAGTCTGATTTAAAAATGGGCAAAGGACCTCCTGAACAGACATGTTTTCCAAAGAAGATATACAAACGGCCAACAAGCTATACTTCTTCCAAGTGGGAGACACCCCACCACACCACTTGTTAAGAGATATCAGGAACCTGGACCTCTCTCACCTGCCCCGAGTTGGTCATGAAGCTGAGCACTGCTTGTGGGTGGGGTGGGACAGGAGCAGCGTTTTATGCCTGCTGAGTACCTTGCTCCAGTAAGAAATGGTGGCAACGCATTCCCTTAGCTCTTCCGAAATAGTGCATGCATAGAACTTGCCCATCCCCTGCTAAAACTAAAACCTGGATAATTGTAACAAATCTAGAGAGGGGTTAACACAAGTTAGTAAATCGTCTAAATTTTATAATATTTAAACAGAAAAGTGTTTCTCCTACATTCAACATGTACTGAGATAAGGATGGACAAGTTTAGGCACCTGCCATCTAAATTAAAAAATCATTTGTAATTAGCTTAGAAATGAGAGTACTAGAGCTTAAGAGAAATTGTTTTCATAGCAACAGCTTTAAAGTCTAATTTTCACTCTTTCTTCCTAAGTCACACAAATGGTAAACTGAATGCTGAAGTTGTACGATTCAAATTATTAAGGCTTTGCCTTTTTCCCACTAAAGTGAAAAGCAGAAGAAAAATACAAAGGGATTCTTCCCTGCCTAAGCATCCACCAAAAAGATGTTCGTCCAATTAAAACTAAATATTTTATTAAAAAGTCATCAGTCACATAGCACTTAAGTTTCTCTCATTAAAACCCATTAAATCATGCTTTCCTTCATTTTATGTTAGTGATTGGTGACTCTTTGTATCTTTAAAGTTTGAAATTAAAAAAAATGTTTAAATATAACTTTTATAGAATAATATGGTCTATATGATGTTGCTTATCAGCATGGAAAATTTGCTAAGACCGGTGACATACCGCAGGTTATCCTAAAGGAGGATTTCGAACAAATGAAGGGCTCAGCTCTTTTTCTTCAGTTCACTTCCGGTTACCCACGTCTCAGTGCATCAGCCTCCAGTGTGGTTGTTTGGCTGTAACTTAGGTCTTAGGCACTTTATCTTCACTAGTTGTTAGTTTTGGTATGTTTACACTGCTAACGATACTCACCATAAGCTCGGGATATGTTGGCCGTTCTTTGGAATTCTTCTTCAAGCTTAAAGAAAAGAATTTAATCCCATTAAAATCGAGAAACCATCTGGATTTTCACTAGGCTAGGATTTCAGAACTTGTAGAAAACTAAACACAACCCACTTTAAAAACGTGTTGAAAACATAGATCTCCTATCATGTCTTTCCTCTTCTGTTATACTTGCAAATTATGTTTTAAGTCATTCTGGGTGTACCTTAAGGGAAAGAACAGGTGTGTGTGTGTGTGTGCACGCGTGTGTGTTTACTTTCCTATGATACTTTACCAATGAAATACAAACTAGCTTTTCTGATCTACAACTATCTCATCTCCTTCAAAACAACTTTTACTCCGTCCCACTGGCAAAGAAATTGGCAGATGTTTCTTATATCACAATTGTTATCGCTTCACTATCATCAGTACCTTGTTCTCCTTGCTTCTGAATCCCCGGAACATATAATTTGCTTTTAGATATTCTTAATGAAACCTGCCTGAAATAGAAGCAATACACCCAGTAAAATGTCTAAGGTAACGCTACTTGTTTCCGACCTCTTTGCATTCTCTGAAAGAGAACGCACACTCCGCCAGTGACTTGGCAATTATCCTTCTTACAGATACTTTGTGGTCAGCTGTCTACAGACACAGACATTTTAATCACATTTGAAATCGGAGACGGCAGCAATAAAACTACAATCTAAAGAGCCCCCCACCTACACCCCACCCTGTATCCATCCCCAGCCTTAAAGTGGGGGGAAAAAGTGGTTTATTTGGAGTTAGAATCCCAGGTTACGGTGTGGAGAAAAGAAACAATTATGAAAACTGTGATTTGCAAGGCAACCTAGAGACTCCCTTGCTCACTGGGTCACAAAATCATACACGAATGGAAAGGAGCTTTGTCTGGTGTTGGGGGTTGCTGGGACCTGTGTTAATGGATCATTCTGAGCAAATGAGACCTAGCATGTGTGGCACGAGCTCTGCTGTAGCCACATAGCCTGACAATGAGGACAGGGATGGGAGTGAGGTTGTCAAGACGCTTGGAGAAACTGTGGTTTAAAACAAAACAAGATGAAGAAAAGAGGAAGCTTTTGAACCAAAACAACTTAAAGCAGCCTACCAGTTTATTCCGGGCAATTCTGTGGGTAGAAGCCAGGGAACCTGAGACAGGGTACAGGTAGATGTGAGGAGAGAAGTTTCAATCTGGAACTGAGGGCTGATCTAGGACCTAGTGACCTCAGTGACCAGACCACCTATGAGAGAAAGTTTCATCTCAACTGAGGATAAAAATAAGAGGGAATTAGCAAGAGGAATTATCAACTGTCAAAGTGGATTGACATGGGAAGGTGTACCTGAGTGAAATGAATGAGACCCTGTCACTCCACCTACGACTGTATGTCCCCTCTGTTCTGAGATTCCACAGGACTCTCCTGGTGGTTCCCACTGTGGGCGACTTTGCCCCCCAGGGGGTATTTAGCAATGTCTGAAAGCATCAGTTGGCAGAGCTGGTGGGGAGTGGCAGTGGCATCTATACATAGAGGCCAGGGGTGTTGCTAACCATCCTACAAGGCACAGGACAGCCCCCACAACAGAGAATGATCTGGCCCCGAATGTCACCGGAGCAGAGGCTGGGAACAGTGGGCTCTATGTACCAGGTGTACGCCCTCGTTGCTGCTGTCTATCCCCTTCTCTGAAATGAAATTTACTTAGAACGGCAATTTCCAGCTTTTTCCAGCTCATGGCACACATAAACTAAATACGAAAATTCTGCGGTACAGCAAAAACTATAATTTTTGCTGATCTGACAAAAAAAAAAGAACAGGTATAATTTTGATTCATTCACATTGGGTGGCTATTGTTGTTGGCTGTTGTCACTTTTTAAAAATTTGATAATCTAAGGGAAAAGCGGTCAGTGCTCCTAACCGAGTCAGGTAGCGCATGTTTTAAAAATTCTTACGGCACCCTGCTTGAGAATCGCTGATGTGGACGCATCTCGGCTGGATCGTCTGCTTCACGGGCACATTCTCACCACTACCCCACCCCAGGAAGCGAAAGTTCTTCCTTTTAAATTCAAGAGCTGCTTCACCAAGAAAGAATCACAGAAGCGGAAGTGCGATGCCAGGAGGGCTGCTGACTTGCACAGAGACCCCAGTCAAAACAAACGGGCTAATGCGCAAGTGCCTGTATCTCCAGCCAGCGTTCGAAAGCTAACAGGAAGCCAGGCCATGTGTTGTCTGCGATCTGAACAATCTAACTTGCTAAAACGAACTATGAAAAGCAGAGATTCAACGTTACATCCACACTGGATACTGAAGTGGTTCGGCAGACGGAACACAAGTCAGTCACCAGGCCCAAGCTCGACGCTGACTCGGAAATGCTCTCCTTGAGGACCCAGACCCAGGGCGACAAGAGAGAGAGAGAGAAGGGCCCAGGAAGAAACACTTGTGTCTCAAAGTGAAAACTATGGCCTCTTTGTCAGCCAGAGATCTCTGTGATGCTGCTGAATACAGCCCCTCTGTTTAGTAGATAATGAACTTATAATCTCTTTTCTCCTCAGGTAGAAGAGCTCAAAACTTTTGGGTTTTTTTAAGGAGAGGTCATTTTAAGTCAGAATGTCTTTTCACTTCTGGAAGAGTTTAAGAATATTTCTCCAGTATTTATTTTTCATCTGTATAAGAAAATGCGGGGAAAGTACCCCAAGTTGACCTCCGTCATCAAGCGTTGAGGATCCCTGAAATCTCAGCGACAGCTGACCCAGCTAGCTCTTGATCTATGGTCCCGATTAGAAAGCTCAGATGTACCACGAGCGCCAGCGCAGTGCTGATGGAAAATACTCACAGAGCAAACCAAGGCTGTTTATGGAGTTAACATAACTGATAGAGCCCGTTCTATCTTTTAAATTGAGAACACTTCAAAACATGGCCTGAAAATAGCGAAAAAACAACCTCAGTGTAAGGTTAGAGGGAAAAGCACATTTTCCATGTTTAATAGGACGTGCTTGAAATTCAGTATAAAATAACAACGATGAAGTTCAAAGCTACACTGATTTCTTTTTGGATTTGAGTCAGACTTTTGAATTTTCAAGTGGCTTGTCATTTTCAAGCGTGCAATTAGCTAACAGCCCTAATTCCTCTTCCAAATGCCACAACACACGCTCCTGACCGTAGCTGACACTAAAAAATAGCTTCATGCTCTCTTGAGAATTGCTAGCTTGAAGTTTGTGCTGACCAGAGGATTCCTGCCTGTTTGAACCCCCCGCCCCCACTGTTTCCAAGAAGGCTATGTGGCACACCCACAAAATAAAAACACTACGCCTCTCCAGCCATACATTTGTCATCAGCTAAATACATATTCAGTGCCTCTTTGTACTGTCCTTCCTGAACAAGTTGGAAACTATATCTGATGGTCTCTGTTTTACACTAGCTCCTCTGAGTCAGACAGTATCAATGTCTGGGTGGGCCTCCAACACACGCCAACATGCCGTCAGGCTGGTCAGCTGGGCACTGAGCCTCCGCAGCCGGCCTGGAGGGAGAGCAAACACGAGGTCAAGCTGTTCTGGTGTTTGGGAGTTGGTTTCCAGTGACCTCCTTCAGTACACAAGCCTGCGAAGCTATAGGAAGAGGTTGTGGGGGAAAGTGAAGCCCGCAAAGACCCCCTTGTCTTGAGGAACTCCCAGTGACTTTTCGATTGTGGAGGCCACACGAAGAGGACAGGGTCAGCCTGACTCGGCCCAGGAACTCTCTCAAACCCCCATGATAAGAAAGCCGTGTGTGAGGGCAAAGAGAGGAAGAACATACTATTCAGTAGTCCCTGTTTCAAAGCAAGTACATGGTGGAGGGGTTTGTAAGATATCACCGGGTACTTTTTTCTTCAAGTTCATAAGGAAGAAATGCCTTAACTTTTTCTTTCCGCCACCTCTCCCCTCAAGATAACGTCTGACATTATTGCAGAAGAAATAAGCCAGCTGGATCTCGGGGCTCCAGATCTAACTTAGGGTGTGCTAGGGATAGCCAGTGTGTGCATCCTACTGTACTCCAAACCTCAGCGTGCTGTCAACCGACAAATAGCGGTCAGAGGACAGGGGCTACCAGGCTGATTGCTTGGATGAAGGCAGAGTACTGAGCACCACTGTGATGTCACCAAATACATAGGGAGGGTGCACCCCACGAATGGTCACAAACACCCTGATGAATTATGGAGGCTGTGAGTGATGCACCTTTTTTTCTTCTAGCTCTACAGTTAGCCCAGAGACAGATGTGGGAGAAAGGAGCACAGGTGTGTTCATCTCACAACCCGAGATTAATCTTCCACTTTCCAAACCTGCAGTCCCCTTCCCTCACTTGCAGCCCGGAGCTGGGGCTTTCTGAGCTGGCTTGAAGAGTCAGAGCTGAACTGTGTCATAAAACACACACAAAGTATATGGAGATCACTTTAAAAAGGGTCTTCTCATGAAGACGTGTCTCAAAAACACAGTTTTCTACACAGGAAAATGGGGACACAGCTATAAAAGGGAGTTACACTCAGAGGCAATATCCTTCTCTTCGCCATGAACTAGAAAGTGCATCGTGGTCCATATGCAGGCAGAAATCACTAGGTTTCCTGGAGAAAACTGCCCTTTCCTACTTTCCTCAATTCCACTGGCAACTTTGATAAAAACAAAGTTCACAGTATGGCGCCTTTTATCTTTCCACTCCAGCCACCTTCAGTTTGCCACACCACACGGACACGTATAGCCAGTTAGCAAGTACTCTGTAGGAGGTAGCCTACACACACGAGAATGACTTTGCAAGACTTCCAGGGACCTACGTAATGCTCTGAAATTAGCCACTGCCTCTCATCCAAGGTCATTCTTTGCCTCTTACCTACCTACTTCCCACCCCTAAACCTCCAATGGGCCCTACCATCTTTCTGTTTATGCTCTATCGACATTCAATTGTTTCAAGTTCTTATAACAGAGTTTCTCGCATTTATGACATGATGCATAATGTTTCTTCTGCTTGGAACCCCCTTGACTCCCCTACTTGCCTTTCACTTGGAAAACACCTCACATGGTCTCAACTCAGGATTCGTCTCCTCTGGAAACTCCACCCTCATGCCTTTCTCTGAGTTCCCCAAATACCCAATGAAGAGTTCCCTCCCTGGACTGGCCACATTACACTATGATCCTTGCTCCATGAGGCTCCCCAACTCGACCCTGAGCTCAGTGAGGGCAGGGACTGGACAGAGGCATCTCTGCGGCTCCGTCCTGGAGGGCACACTCCGGAAATGAGTTGGAATGAATGTATGCATGATGGACTAAACCCGTGAGGGCTCCTCTTCCTTGGCCCTGGCCCTGGGGGGTGAGGCTCTCTTACCACTGCGAGGTAAAGTCGACAAACTCTTCCGAGAACTTGTCTGCTGGGAGCTGCGGCGACGGCTCCTCCACCACCTGTTTGAGCTGCTGAAAAGGAGTTCCCCAGGAATCGTAGGGAAACCGGAGGATGGCCAGCTCGATCTAGAGGGAGAGGACAGCAAGGAGACGACAGCTGGAGCAGGGTCCCTTACGGAGTGCGCAGTGTTTTCTCCCAGGAGAGCCAGCGGGAAGAAAGCACGGTGCAGCTCCAGTAAAATGTCAGGGTGAAGGAACAGTAATATGTTCTCGAGCAAAAGCTCCCCCATTCCCTAGTGCTAGGGATTGTCAAATATTATCTTACTAAGCCTGTTTACAACTGGGTCCTCTCCCAAACCCATGGTGACACTTTAAACTGACAAGCCAGCAGCAGTCCTGCGCTTCGGGAAGGAAAGCGGCCTGGTTTTCCGAGGCTCAGTCTGTGATTCTCGCCTGGGAGTTTACGGAGCTGCGGACATCTGCTGCCACCTGCAGGCCCCTCACGAGAAGGAAATAAAAACAACGTGGGACCAAAGGACGGATCTTTTTTTGGACTTGAATAAAGGCCACTTTGCTGTGACAAGATCACATGCTTTCTGGGCAGGGACGAGAAATAACTCACGGATTTAATCAGCTGCCGTGCCTGGGAAAGAGCCAGGACCGCAATGGAGAATTCCAGACCCTGGCCACACACTGAGCATCGATGATCACCATAGTAACAAGGCACTAATCGTATGACTTTAGGGCTGAGCCTGAGGACGTTCTAGTATTGTATCACGTCTTTCAGCTACACCTGACCTCAATGGCCAAGACTTCCTTCATAACCACAGTCCAAGAGCAGAGCCTACATCCTGGGTAGCACTGCTCCATCAGGGTCCGCACACACTACCTCTCTTTGAGTGGCTCCAGCTTCCTTGTGCCTTGATTGGGATAATATAATTTTACGAAAACTATCAAGAGCTATAATTAGACTCTCTCATTGTACAGACGAGGACAGTAAGACAGTCCGTGGAAGTCGGCCATCTACTCAAGGGCATGCAACTACTTAGAGGTGGAAAAAAAAGAAATGCTGGGTTTTCCCAATCCCTGTACAGCATTTCTTCTACGCCACACTGCAGACGATTGTCACTCGGCATCCCCTCTGTCTCATGCAGGAAGGGGGCTCAAGACCAGTATGTAGGGCGTTGGCCTCTCAGTCTGATGCCCAGAACCTCATCATCCACGATGGTTATCATACGCTACCATTGTGATGCCCAGACTCCAAATGTCAGACTTCACGCTGTATCCCTTCTGGTTGAGCTCTGGGTTTATTCTTTCAGGCTGGAAAGGAGACAGAAAAAGATAATGGAGATGACATTCTTGGCTCAATCAGGTTTCTGGGGGTGCGGCGGCGGTGGCGGCCGGGTGAGCGGCTCGAAGCTGTGAGCTTTCCCAGGCCAAGAAGACTCACCAGTGACCACACAGCGTCGTCTCCGCAGTCCCCTCATTCTACATTAGTCTTTTTCTTAGAGACAATAATAAGTCAAAGTCCCCCCACAATTCAAAACTAGTTTCCATTTCCCTTCAGAAGAAACAGGATATGAAGCTACTCTGGCAGTCTAGAATGTTCCTTGTTAAAAACACCAACAGTCTAGAACTCAGTAAAAAAAAAAAGAAAAAAATCAACCAGAGTCACTGGGCTGCCAGCTGGCGTTAATAGACTGGCACCCTTTAGGTTAAGCAGGGACGAGAGCTTTTCCTTCCGAGCGCAGATCCACGTCGACACAGACACAGTAGAAGTCCTCCAGTGAGAGGGCTTCTCCAGGCCTGTGCTGATGGCGACGAACCCTCCCGGCTACGAGTTGCTCTCAGGACTGACCCACCTGCCTGATTTGGGTAATTTAAATTCTATTGACTGTTCTGTCCTCAACAAACAAGATAACACTCTCCTGCAGCTCAGTGTGGCAAATTGTGTGGACTGTATGAGTTATTTGCTTGTGTTTTTTTCTTTTCTTTTCTTTGCTTTTCTTTGCTTTGCTTTGCTTTTCCTTTTTTTATCCTCACCTGTTGTTCAGATAGAGTGGAAGGAAGAGAGAGGCAGAAAAAAAACACTGATGTGAAAGGGACACATTGAGTGGCTGCCACCCGCACAACCCAACCAGGGCCGGGGACAAACTGCAACCAAGGTACATGCCCTTAGCGGGAACCAAACCCGGGTCTCTCAGGACCGCAGGCCAACACTCTAACCGCTGAGCCAAACCGGCCAGGGCTTACATGTGTTTTTTTCAAACAATATACCTTTTTTGCTTGATAAAAAAAAAAAAAAAAGATAGATGAAGCAAGTGGTGGAGGATTTCAGACAGAAAATCTTCAAGGAGAAAAGGAGATGCATCTCGGTCACACTTCCATCTCCCCTCTGCAGCCATCTGGTTTCCGTTCCCTGGCACGGTCAGCACTCCCAGATGCCACCCCAGCCCTGCACTCACGGCCATGTACGGTTTGCATCCTGCATCGATGGTCTTAGCAACCGAGTCTACAAGATAGCCGCTGATGCCGAAGTCGCACATCTTCACTTGGCCCAGAGCGTTGATCAGCACGTTGGAAGGCTTGACGTCTGAAAGCAAAAACAAGCAGGAGCCCATCATCCCACCTGTGTTGAAGATCCATTGCTCTACCACCAGAGGGCCTGAAATCTCCATTTCTCCTTCAGCTTCCTTTCCCAAGCCCAACGTAAAGAGTAAATGCCACCCCTGACTCGGTTACATAGGTCTTACTACTTTCACCTTGATTTTCTATTGCACAGTTTGTCTTTCTTGTAGGATTATATGAATCCACCAACGGATAAGAAATGTTTCCTCGATGTTATCATCTTCATTTCCCCCATCATGTAGTAAGAACCTAAAAAACCATTATTGAATCAAATGCCCAGTTCCAGGGGCACAGTCTGAATTACACAAGATGAGTAAGTTCTAGAGATCTGCTGTGCACCATTGTCACTGTAGGAATGAAGAGTACTATACAGTGCACTTAACACTGTTAGGACGAGAGAGCTCATGTTAAGTGTTCTTAGAACAATAACATAGTTTTTAAAAGCCCAGTTTCTAGAAACATCTGTAACAAAAATTAAAAATAAAGAAAATAAATAAAAGCCCCGTTTCTAATGATCTACTGCACATTTAGTGGAGGAATAATATAGATCAAGGAATGGAAAGGGATACTGTGATGTCACAATATACCAAATACAATCAAATCAACCAGTTCTGATTGAAACCCCTTCAAGAGGTGTGTCAGAGGTCACAGAGTAGGTCATCATGAGCTCAGATACTCCAGACCACGAGGCAGGTCATGACTGGACATGTGGCTGAAGGAGTGTTACTGAGTCCTGCAGCCTGGAAAGATATGAATGACACCTACCCACCCCCAAGTAGGTGTTATATCTGGATGATGGAATTAGAAATTACAGTTCATTGTTCCCTGTGAAGTACATGTCATCAGAAAAAAAAAAGTTATTCTAAAAACATTTTAAATTGTGCTTGATGATGTTCCCCTTAAATGGAATGGCAGATATACACATTTCATTTCATTATTTTTAAATTTTATACATTCTCTCACGTGAATGAAATATTTCATAATTCTGAAATAAACCCTTAACAATCAGCTTCACGTCTGTGGGTAATCCGCATTGTTCTTCCTCTCTGGATCCCGTCCCACTTTCTTCTCCTCCTCTTCTCCTTTCTATCTTTCCAATTTTTAATAATAACAATAGCAGCAGGCACACTTTTCAGGCATTTTACATTATTTTACAGCTCAGAGACTATAAAAATCACCAAATCACAGTGCCCTGTGAGCTATTGATGCTTCCCGCTAAGTTCTCCGAAGCCTGGTTGAGCACATCTTCCCTTGACTAGTCACCAGTGCCAATCATTCTTTTTTAATTTCTCTTTTCCTTTATTGATTTGAGAGAGAGAGAGAGAGAAACACTGATGAAAGAGAACATCGACTGGCCGCCTCCTGCATGCCCCCGCACTGAGGATTGGGCCCACCACATGGGCATGTGCCCTGACTGGGAATCAAACCGGCGACCTCATGGTGCCTGGGTTGATGCTCAACCACTGAGCCACACCGGCCGGACATGCCAATCATTCTTGTTTCATATTCTACCTATACTACTTCCATAGGTGGTATTTTCATATTTCCAATGTGTTTTCATGGGTTTGTTGTGTATTTGTTCATTTCCCTAGTAAGAATTCCTACATAGAACTTTAATAAATTAGAGTATGTTTTCTTCTCAGCCACCTCTTGGGGCATATATTATATCCTGTAAAAATACAATGCTATATAACGTTGGAAAATATAAGTGGGTGGGTACATGGATTGATGAAAGACGAAAGAATGATATATGGGTGGATAGGTGGATGGAAGAGATAACAGGTCAATAGGAAGGAAAAGGGAAAGGAAAAAGAGACAAATCTACCAATGTTTCCATTTCGTCCTGCCTTCTGCTGCCTGAGAGAGCTGTGTTTTAAACCAGAACTTTTCACACTTGAATGTGCACAAGAATTACCATCTGGTTAAAATGCAGTCAGTCGATCTTGTGACCCACAGTTCTGATGTTCTAACATGCCCTCAGGTGATGGCCAATGCTGGATGAATTTTTACCCTATTCTCTGCAGTTCTCCATGGTGTAATCCCACAGCTCTGCTTGGTAACAGGTATTTTATACTCTACTTGGGTGTAATATAAAGCCCGTGTCTTCTGATATCCTCAGACAAGATAAAGAACAGCCACCCCTATGATTTGCTATCCAGTCCCAAGGGAAAACCCTGCAGTTCTCTTCCCTGACTCAATTCCACTTCCATCCACTTCGGGGTGAACTCCAGTAAAAGAAACACACTTGAGAAAAGGAACAGCCAGGCAGCTCCATGGATGCTTACCTCGATGAATGACAGACAGCTTACTGTGTAAATGTTCTAATGCTTTTACAATCTGCAAGAGAAACACAGGATAGATTTATGTCCCCCAATTATGAAAGAAATCAAGTGATAAGTATACCCAGTTTATTATCCTTGACTTAGGTCATGAGGTGAAGTATTTTCTCAAATAGTGGTGCTCCTGCCCAGAAAAATACACAGGAATTTACCCAAACTGGACCCTGCCCACCAGAGAGGACTGTACCGTATAGCTGAGAGTATGCTGCACTAATATATCTCAGTTTTCATTTGGCCTCCAGCATGGTTTTCTCTCCACCCTCTCGAACCTCAATAGCTTTTAAGGGCAAACACGTTAATTTCCCTTCATTTCTCTCTTGCTTCCTTCTATGCCTATTATTCCTAAGAAAATGTGTAAAAGTCTATAAATAAAAATTAAACCGATCTCAGAACACAGACACCAGGAACGCAGTGGCAGCGGATGGGTTCACTGCTGAGAGGCCCTTACACTGCAGGCTTGCCCAGCTGAGCCAGTGGGAGACTGCTACTGCTCAGAGAGGAAGCATCCCCTTATCCACCCTCAGATGCACTCCTGCAGTTAGCGTGCACTGGATAGTTCTATGGTAACGTTTCCTCATACTGGGGACACAAAGACACAGGAGGCCTAGATGTCTCTCATTCTCCTTGTAGGGTCCATGATGTACTCACAGAAACTGCTATTTTTCCTAAGATGTCTTCTGGAATTGTTTGGCCTTTATCAATCACTTGCTTGTAGAATTTATCTAGCGACGTATCCATGAGCTCCATGCAGATCCAGACGTCACCCTGGAGATAGATTGGTTCCGAGATTGTTAGAGAGGACGGAAAAGAGAAGCAGTGAACACCTGTCAGAAAAAACGACTTCTTGCTTGAGTTTTTGGAGGAAATGTAGTTTCTCTTCAAGATCTCAAAGGAATTCATAAACAAGCAAGATGATCTCCAAAGAGCCAACTAGCAGACAGCCAAGCATAACTGGCATGTGATCACTTACTCCCTTGTGAAAACCAGCATCAAAATACGAAGAGAGACAAGCAACAGAATCCCCCAAATCCCAGCTCTCACTGTGTCTGCCCCTCGCACTTGAATCCAGAAGCCTGCTCCACGTCTGCCCTCCCACAGGGAGCACTGGCCCGTTCATCAAAAGGCTAGTTTTAAGGGTGAGGTGAGGCATCATAATCCATAGCAGAGTAAGAGAGAAACAAGCCAACCTGGCACAAAAGTAGGCTACGTAAAGCCTGGCAAGTAGCAAAAGGCCAGAATATTTCTGATTTTTAAAAAATGTTTATTGATTGACTGATTTGAGAGAGAGATTTGTTGTTCCACTATTCAAGCATTCATTGGTTGCTTCTCATATGTGACCTGACTAGGGATCAAACCCGCAACCTTAGTGTATCAGGATGACACTGTAACCAACTGAGTTACCCAGTCAGGGCACAATATTTCATATTTTTTTTCTAAATATGTTTTTATTGTTGTTTAGAGAGAGCTAGAAACATCGATGTGAGATAAAAACATCGATCAGCTGTCTCCTGCATGCCCTCCACTGAGGATCGAGCCTGCAACCCAGGCATGTGCCCTGATTAGGAATCCAACCGGGACCTCTCAGTCCATGGGACAACGCTCAATCCACTGAGCCACACCGGCCAGGAAATATTTTATATTTTAGGGACTCTATCCAAATCAGTCTAGAGACAGGCCGAAAGAGACAAAGCAAAACAGAAAGGAGAAACAGAGAGTCACAGCATCTTTCACAGGGCTCAACACATCTGAAAAGACCATTGCTTCCAGCCCCCTTCGCACGAGGGCATCGTGTTGCCAGTGCAAAGAATAAGGCCCTCCCCCGGAGACCTGTCAAGCAAGAGAGGGTACCAAGACCGTGCACGGCATTCATGTGATCAGAGGCACTTCTTTCAAGTTACTGTTCTCCTTGACCTTGAAATGAAGGGTCACCTACCTCCCGGAAGAGTGCGCCGTAAAAGGTGACCGTGAAAGGACAGTCCACTGTCCTCATGGAAACATCCAAATCCATCAGTAGCCTTTTCTGTTCCTGGCTATTTACTGTGGCCCGGATACGCTGAATGAGAATACATGGAAAAACGTATGGTTACTGCTCTGAGGATGAAGCAGTTCATAATGCAGGGACCTTAAAAGAACCTCATTCTGAAAACAGTACAAAAATCCACGGCACAATTTCTAGCAACAACCTTTCGGACACCCACCCTAAGCAATTGGCTATTTGTAACAAAAGAAAAATAAGAAAGATTGTTATTCATGTCATATCTTAAATAATCGCTGGTTAAAAAAACAGAACCAAACAACTAATAATATATTTTGGGGAAACATGCAGACACTTGGAAGTATATCTCCAAGTTACAAAAACAGTCTGGTTTATTGTATTATGCATGTTCAGTGCAAAGAGGCCATAGTATGAATTACCCTGTGGCCAATCTGGAGTCCTACAATAAAGGCCAAAAGCCCCTCTTTGGGAACAAGTAAGAATAGTTGGACTAAACAGCAACTGTAAGAGAACTGACACAGCTGTAGGAAATAGAAGAAATCAAACAGAAATGGAGAAATCCTCCATTCCTATCCCGGCGCTTCTGAGAGAAGAGAAACCTCGCTTTCACACCACCAAATGTGGCCTTACAGAAATACCATTATTTCATTAAATCACAGGAATAATATATCTCTAGGCATTTACACTTTTTGCCTACTTAGCAAAGAGTCTGTAGGGGAACAAACTGAAAAATCTACCAGTTAAGGTAAAGGTATATCTCCATTCTCCAAAAACAAAGGGATCCAAGTCATCTGAACATCCACATTCCTAACAATGGCCCAAATCTATTAATTCATCTACAGATGGCGATTCTCCAAGGTCCTTCCAGTATCCACTCAAGAAATATGCAATGATTATACATTTCTTTTTATAGTGCAGAAACTATGCAAATTCACTCAAGATGTATTTTACCCTCCTTTTTTCCACAAACGGAGACAATTTTCTCCCTCAATTCTGGTTTCCTGATTTTCAGGGACAATTCTTTAAAAGAAATAGAATATAGAATAAAGAGACTTTTGAGACATAACAACCAAATGCAATATGTGAATATTTGATTGGATTCTAATTTGAACAACCAATAGGAAAAACAAAAAACAAACAAAAAATGAAAACATCAAGATAATCAAGGTAATTTTAATTTAGACCTGCTGTGAGGTGACGTCAAAAAGCATCTTCCACACATTTGGAGGGCAATCTGTTCCTTACAAATAATCTTTTCTGTTTTGCCCTTTTAAAGATTGTCTTTGCATCTATGAAGATAGCTGATTTGCAACGGGGATGGACGAAAGTAAACAGCACAGACAGAAAGTGTTTGGGGAACATCAACTCTACCTTCACTGCCATGATCTGCCCGCTGGGCACGTGTCGCATCTTCTCCACCACCCCGTACGCACCTCGTCCCAGTTCCATTATAGGCTCCATGTCATCCGCCTTCACCTCAAAGTTCTACGGGACAGAAAAACCACACAATAGGAAAGAGAAAAATAAACATGACGTAGACTATGCTGTCCTCTCTCTGGTTTCTCCCAGTGTTCTAAAGTTCATTTCTGGTCCAGAAGCTTCTGGTCTAGAAGCTTGTTCAAGCAGCCACTGAAAGCAAGAAGCATTGGGAGATGTTTAGACTCCCAAAAAATGCCACCTGCCTGTCACAGGCAATACAGGCATACAACTCCAACTCAGCTCTCAAATTGCTCAGTTTAAGTTGTCTACACCGGGGTTCGTTAGCCATGCCTCCTTGAATACATGTGCAACCCATATGCAGACTGAAGGGAACTAGATCTATGCTTGGACCTTGAGAAATTATCCCCCTCCTCCCAAAAGAAACTCATCCACTCTCCACAAATGCCTTCCATCAGGACCACAACAGCCTGATTTCAATTCAACATTCAAAAATATCAAAAGAGTTCCACGGGTGACTTCTGTTTAAATCCAAACTTTTTAATCCATCCCCTGACAACATATTACAGAAAATGAATTTTTCAACGGGCAGTCAGAAAACATACACATAAAATGGTCAATGCCCTGGCCGGTTTGGCTCAGCGGTTAGAGCGTCGGCCTGCGGTCCGGAGAGACCCGGGTTCAGTTCCCGCTAAGGGCACGTACTTCGGTTGCAGTTTGTCCCCGGCCCTGGTTGGTTGTGCGGGTGGCAGCCACTCGATGTGTCCCTTCACGTCGATGTTTCTCTCTCTCTCTCTCTCTCTCTCTCTCCCTCCCCCTCTATCTGTACAAAAAATGGAAAAATATCCTCGGGTGAGGATAAAAAAAAAAAAAAATGGTCAAGATATCAGCTGGCAGACATCGATTTCCTCACCTGGTTTCCAATAGAAATGCAAGCTTTGGAGTCTAAATCTCGAGGTGGCCTAAGGAAAAAGAAGGGGAGAAAAAACAACAACACGTGAGATTTTAGTCAAAAAGGTCCTTCCCAAATCATATGCGATTGTAGGGATTTTTCCTTAGAAATAAGGAGGAAGTTTATGAATAAAATAAAGCAGCATACACGGTTTAACAGTGTGGGATTAAAAAACTTTCAGGTTTAAATTACTTAATCTCTTTGAGCTTCTGTTTCTTCTTTAACATGTGGATATTAGTACACCTACCTCATGGAATAGGAGTATTAAATAAAATATTCTAGGTAAAGTGCTTAGCAGAAAGCCTAACATATAGTAAATATTCAATAAATATGAGCTATATGTATATAGCTATATAGATCATTATATTTTTCCAGTAAGCCTCAAACGTTTTTCATCCAAGAACACCAAGTACCTAATCAATCCCCTACTTTATCCATAAATGTTAAATAAATAATGACTGGCAGGGGGCGGCTGGGGGGGGCATGGAGAGTGGAAGAGTGGGAGGCCCAGAGACATCAGGTGACTTCAGAGGTCACAGCTAACCCAGGTCGCCTGGTTCTCAGGTCAGAATGCTTCTGCTCCTTCAGGCTGTCTAATTCAGTTGTGGCGTTTGTTTCTTCCCTACAAAGGTGCATGCTGCCGAGGGCCATGCCAGCAGCAGGCCTGCTGGTGTGTCTCCGTAAGAGCAGCACTCCTCGCCTCCTGTGAGTATGTTTCTACTGCTTCAGAGCTGCCTGGATTCCTATCAAGCCACTTAGGAGAGAGGTGTTGGCTTTGGCTGTGCGCCTAACGAGGAGCCTAGAAAAGCATTTTCCTGAAATAAATGCACCGAAAGCATCACAACACAAGTAGTGTGTGCCAGGAAACATGCTGCCAACATGGCCAAATCATAAAGCGACTGAGGGGCCATCCACGCCAGAGCTGTCCTAGAACAATACACGGGCAAGTGGAAGGGATGGCAGAGAAAAGAAGAGAGAAGAGGACCCTTTGCCAATGACAACTGTTCCCAACCCTCATGTATTATGATTCTCTCCCTCCAACTGAAATTAAATAAAAAAAGAAAACAATAAGGAAAGCGTAGAACTATAAACACAGATATAAAAATGAATCTCAGGCTTTAATGGCAAGCCTTCTCTCACCTCAAAATCCCTTTGAAATCCGCAGAATACCTAACATAAGTTTTCCTATGCAAACTTGAAACCAGGGCCTGGGAGGGAAGGAGAGAGCAGAAAACACACGCACATGCGCATATACGTACACACACGCACACACGCATGCAGACACACGCACAGTGATGTTTTTATACATGTTTTTCCAAGCACGGAATGTTTCTTCAGAAACACTTTTCCAGAGGAATTAAATTAGTGAAAATCTCATTTCTCATTCTTAAAGTTTCCAAAGCTATTTTTCTTCAGTTGTCATTATTTGTCTGTATGAACTGCAGTGAAACTTTGAAATAAAGACAATCACTTAGAACATGTGATTAATATAAACAATAAAACACCCTTTGCAATTGTTTACCATTCTTCCTTTTAAAAGCAACAGAAAGGCCCTGGCCGGTTTGGCTCAGCGGTTAGAGCATCGGCCTGCGGTCCAGAGACCCAGGTTTGGTTCCCGCTAAGGGCACGTACCTCGGTTGAGGTTTGTCCCTGGCCCTGGTTGGGTCGTGCGGGTGGCAGCCACGTGATGTGTCCCTTTCACATCGATCTTTCTTTCTCTCTCTCTCTCTCTCTCTCTCTCTCTCTCTCTCTCTCTCTTCCTCTCTCTCCCTCCTGCTCTATCTGAACAAAAAATGGAAAAAATGTCCTCAGGTGAGGATAAAAAAAAAAAAATAACAAAAATAAAAGCAACAGAAAGGTCACCAGTATTTGGAGGCTACCTCCGTTTTCGTGTCATCCAATGAAGGTATTGGGTGAGACCTCTTCTGGGTCTGATAGTCCAGTATTCATACCAGGGCTCAGCAAAGGACAGCCTGTGGCCCAGCTAAGAATGACTTTTACAAGTTTAAAGGGTTACAAAAATACAAACAAACAAAGAATATCCAACAGAGGCCATTGTGGCCCAGGTAGCCTAAAATAGTTACTATCTGGATTTTTTGCGAAAAGTTTGCTGACTCCAGCTTTATGCTAACTTTGCAACATACCTTTACCTAATAGGAGAGTTTTGTGCCATTTTCCAGGCTGAAGAAAATGAAGCGCAGAAAAACTGCTGAAGCCACAGTCCTCAACAGAGCTGAAAATAAAACTCACATGACCTGACTCTCAGTCCTGACCTAAGGAGGAAAGAATATATGCTGAAAACTGGAGTAAAAGCTTTACCTTCAGCTCATGAACTGTTGTTTCTCTCTCTCTCTCTCTCTCTCTCTCTCTCACACACACACACACAAACCGCTATGAGTACCATTATTCCCATGTTCCAAATGAGTTTAGCTAATCTGCTCCCAAGTGATGAACCCATAATTCCGATCCAAGTCTGCCTGAACCCAAGGATCCTGGTCTCCACACTCAGGCTTCCTCTACTGAAAAGGATCAATCCACCTAAGCCTCGGGCCATACGGCTCATCAGGTCTGCCAAACACACCAAAGGATGGGGCCAGGACTGACAGCTCCTTGCAGATTAGCTGACACTGTGTTCTGTCCAAGACTGGGCACATAAATTTGCCTGGGGCACGGAGTCTCCCCAGGAGGTTTATTCTGCAGGTGGATATTCTCTGTCACTTTTTCAATAGTTTAGTCCACTGGGGAAAAAGCCAAGCTTATTACAAATTTCTTCCCTGGAAGGTATTCCAAAGGGCACCTAGTGTTAGTGTTTTATATGAATAACCAGCTTTGGGGTATTGCAATTATTTATTTATAAGACTGCATGAGCAATTAGTTCCCTGGCTATTGTTATGAATATTTTTCTCCTATTCAACAATAATGATTAAACATCTGCCTGGGCCAGAGTCTGGGTTAGACCCTTTATATAAAGTATCTTCTTTAATTTTCACAACTCTTAGAGGCATTATTATTTTAATATGAAGAACTGACATTGAAACAGACAAAATAATTTAAAGTCATTCAAAGAGATGGTGAGATTAGAACCCAGAGCTGTGCCATGAAATCTCCCTGCAGAAGTAAAGATCCTGCCCTCACTTCCTAGCCAGGGACGGCTTGGCTGGTCTCCACCAGTCTACCGTGGAGCTGAAAGGGCGTGCCCGAGAGTCAGGGAGCCCTGTACGTGTACGCCACTTCTCATTTAATAACAGTGGGGGATCGCAACAGCAGCAGCACTGGGAGCTACCTTCATTGAGAAAGTAGAGTAGGACTGGCCCTAGGACACTTCATGTGAATCGTGACATCTAATCTTCATAGCAACCATATCGTTATTGATGCCTGTTTTTCAGAAGGGGAAACTAAGTCTCAGGAGGGTTAAGTAACTTGTCTAAGGTATTCAGCTAGTGAAATTTAGATCCCAAAGCAAGCCTTGGCATTCTAGGGCCAGAACCTGCAGTCTTACCCATAAGGCTAAGCTTGACTGCTCTGGAGCAAGACACCTGACCCTTCTACAGGTCTGTTTTCTGACTTATAAAGTGAGAGTAATAGCGACTGCCTCCAGAGTTTCTTGTGAGGGTTAAAGGAAAGAATGCTGACTGGCACAGAATTGATTTAGAATTAGTTGCTGCCAGTCAAGTGAGGGGACAGCTCAGAAACCTAAGTCAAAGACACACTGGCATCAGTTACTCAAAGAAAAGGCTCAAGCAGAGGGACCACACACGTGGAACTAAAGAGAATAGAGCCCTGTCCCAGGCTATTTATTTCTGTGTAGCACAGCAGGAGGAGGCAGGGCATAAATGCTAAGAGTCACCAAGCCAACCTCAAAAAATTGCCAAGAAAAATTCAGTGTAGAAGGTTCTTCTTTGGGAGTAAAAATTGAAGGCTCAGTATTAAAATAACAATTATAATAATAAGGCTTTCCATGAGCTAAAGTGGTATAGTCTACAATCATGCTCTTGGCTTTATACAGTGAAATAGAAAAGTACATGCAAAGTCTATTTTACCGCATGAGAGAAAGACAACACAGAAACTACCTTTATCCTTGCATAGGTTTTTATTCATTTGTTTATATGAAGGAAAGATTTACGGTAGTTTTCAAAAATTTATCAAATACAGAAAATTAATATAAATCAGAAGGTGAAGAACAAAAATTTTAAAGGAAAGTAATATAAGAAACATTGACAGAATATATCCCAAAGGAAAAAAATAAAGATAAGAGCAGAAGTCAATAAAAATGAAAACAGGAAAAGAAAGTTGGTTCTTAAAAAAAAAAAAAATCAGCCCTGGCTGGTTTGGCTCAGCAGTTGCAGTATCGGCCTGTGGACCAGAGAGTCCCGGGTTCGGTTACCGCTAGGGGCACGTACCAAAATAATATTTAAAAAGAAAAATCAGGGTGGTGAGAGAGATAAATCACAGAGCTTATATTCATGTATGCATGAACAATGGACATGAACAACAAAGCTGGGGACAGGGCGGGGAGGGAGAGGGAGGAGGGTATCAGTGGGGGGAAAAGGAGAAACATCTATAACAAAAATAATTTTTAAAAATCAATAAAGTTAATAAAGCTCTAGCAAGATTGACACAGAAAAGGGAGAAGACACAAGTTACTAATACCAGGGGGATATGGGGACTATCACTACATATCTTGCAGCCATTAAAAAGATATTCAGGAAATACTATGAATAACTCTACTCTAATACATTCAGCAACTTACAAGAAATGGGCCAATTCCTTGAAAAGCACAAACTACCAAATCTTACCCATGATGAAAAAAATCAGCTGACTAGTCCTATAACTAGTTAAAGAAATGAAAATGTAGTCAAAAAGCTCCAGAAAAATAAAATACGCAAGCCCATTTTGTTTCACTGGAGAATTTTAGAAAACATGAAGAAGAAAAAAAAAAAATTGCATATATTGAAATATTATGTTGTATACCTGAAACTAGGATAATATTATATATCAATTTTATCTCCAAAATATTTTTAAAGGAACTAACACATATTTTATACAGTGCCTGCCAGAAAAAAGAAGGAACTCCCACCAACTAATTTTATGAGGCCAGTATTACCTTAATATAAAGACCAGAATAGCGCGGGCGCACACACACACCCCCACTATAGACCAACATCTCATGAAGTTAGACAAAAATTCTCAACAAAATTTTAGTGTATCAAATCTAACAATATATAAAAATTAATATACCACAACCAAGTAGGAATTATTTTGGGTACGAAAGGCTAGTTTAATGTTTTAAAAATCAATTAAATCCATATCAACAGGACAAAGAAGAATCTATGATTATATCAACGGATGTACACACAAAAATTCAACAAAATTCAACATGCATTCATGATAAAAACTCTTAGTACTTCAACCTCATAAACAGCATCTACAAAACCTTAATGTCATGCTTTAATGGTAAAGATTAAATGCTTTCCCTCTAAGATGAAGAACAAAGCAAGGGTGTCTGCTCTCACTAATCTTTTTTTTTTTTATCTTCCCCCGAGGACATTTTTGCATTCATCTTTAGAGAGAGAGAGAGAGAGAGAGAGAGAGATGTGAGAAAGACACATCAACTTGCTGCCACCCACACAACCTCAACTGGGGCCGGGGACAAACTGCAACCGAGGTTCGTGCCCTTAGCAGGAACCGAACCCAGGATTCTCTGGACCGCAGGCCAATGCTTTAATCACTGAGCCAAACCGTCCAGGGCTGCTCTCACTAATCTTATTTAACATAGTACAGAACATTCTTGCAGCTAAAGTTAAGGTAAGAATATAAAGGTTTAAAATATACAGTTTGAAAAGGAAGAAGTAAAACTGTCTCTTTTTGCATAAGTGAAACTATCTCTTTTTGCACATAAAGCTCTAAGAAATCTACAAAAACTCTTAGAACGAATAAGTGAATTTAGTAAGGTCACAGGACAAGAGCAACATAAAAATCAATTGCATTTCTATATAATGACAATGAGCAAGTGAAAACCAAAAGCAAAAATAGAATACCATTTATAATTGCTCTCATACTTAGGATAAAACCTAATGTAGAGACTCTTTATGATGAAAACTATAAAATACTGATGAAGAAAATCAAAGATAATCTAAACACCTGGAGAAATCTACCATTTTCATGGGTTGAAAGACTCGATGTAGTAAAAGATGTTGATTCTCCCTAAATTGATCTATAGGTTAAACACAATTCCAATAAAAATCTTAGCAAGTTTATTTGAACACACAGACAAGCTTATTCTAAAATTCATATGAAAAAAAGAAAAGCCCTAAATAGCCAAAATAATTCTGAAAAAGATGAACCAAGCGAAAGGAATCACTTTCCCCAATGCTAAGGCTTATTATATATCTGCAATCAAGACAGTGTGATATTCACAGAGGGATAGACACACAGATCAACGGAACAGAACAGAGAACCCAGAAATAGACCCACACAGTCTGTTCAATTAATATTTGTCCAAGGAGCAAAAGCAAAGAAATGGAGGAGAGATAGCCTTTTCAACAAATGGTATGGGAGGAACTGAAAATCCATTGGCCAAAAAATACAGCTCAACCTAAACTTCAGGGAGATGGTGCCCTGCTTCACCAGGGCTTGAGCTCACCTGGGATTTGGGCCAAAGCCTCAGCTAATTAAAAAAAAAAGTGTTCCTTTACCTCATTTTGCCTTCTGTTTATGTGGAATAGGATCTTAGGTGTCAGGATGCTGAGTATTCATCAAATACCATTTTCCATCTCAACACAAGTTTTATAGTAGTGGCTCTCACAAGGATTTACTTGTTTTCTCAAATCTATATGGAAAAGGCAAAAAGTCCACATCCAGGGACCTTTCTGGAAGTACATAAGACCCCATCTGCCAAATGCATTTGTGACACTCAATTTTTGGCCAACCAGTAATGTGAGACATGGAGTTCAAAGCTACCCATTCAATACAGTCTGACTGACCAAGGGTGGTTATTTCAAGTCTCAGAACAGTGAGCATGCTGCTTCCCCTTTAAAGGTCCCTTCCCTTCTCACCACTATTTCCACAGTCAAGATATTGCTCATCAGTCCTAAAATGAACCCCCACTACCCAGAAATCTGTAAAGTGTGAGTGTTTGGATGAAGATGATGATCTTGCCAACTTACGTGGAACTGGTCTGAGGTTGTTCAAATGCTTCTTTTGGAATTTTAAGGCCAGGGTTTCGCTTCTTGCCTACAGGGAAAGAGGTAAAGATGAAGTTAAGGTCTACATCACGCACTAGTGCAGGGTGGACACGGCAGCAGAAGGAAAGGGCGGACCCGGGAAAGCAGCTCTCGTCTCCCCATTCAGAACACTTCCTATGCAGGAAGTCTGTGAGTGACAAGCACCCAGCACCAGGCTGAGCAGAGCTTCCCAAATGTAGACTTTCACCAGTCATGGGTGAACATGTCAGTACAAGCATGCTGACTCTGTCTACCTAGGAAGACCTGGCCTTTCTCCCTGATGGGAATTTGTCATTCCAACTTCTCTGTTCTCTCCTGTACACAGTGATGGTAATGGTAGAGGTACTGGTTATGGTTTCTTTTTTCCTTTCTAATGTCAGTCAAATGTAGTCACCCTTTTACCAGTATCCCACAGTTTTCTAAATTGATCTGTGAACAACCGACAGAGTTAACCATGGAGGTAAAATAAGAAGTACTTTCCCACCATTTTCCCTGCCCATTCTCAACCACCTGTCAGAAGCTGAAACACCTGAGAGAGAAACAGAATAATATTTATTTACATTTGCCCTGTTCCAAAAAGGATTAAGATAACAGATGGGCTCATGCAAGAAGGTTATTGCTTCCCTGGGAGCCAGACAGGCAAGTAACTGATGTGTTCATCCCTGGGCTGAAACCACAAGACAGCTTGGCTCAAATACTTTTGTTATTGAGTAAAAAAGAATAGACTGAGAAATGCCAGCTCAGGAAGCAGATCAAAGAAAACAGTCATGTAAGGGCCCGGGATGTCCCCATCTAAGAAGATCGTGTGTGTGTCTTCATGACAAAGCAGAGCTGAAGAAAGTGCCCAGGGTTCCACTGTCTTTCTCACGCTGCCGGTGAGCATACAGAGCTGACACGGGCCCTGGACAAGTTCCTGGGTAGAGATTCTGCAAAGGAGCTTAAGAAATCAAATATTGCAACCCACTGGCTGGAAAATGACTTCCAGGGACTTCAGGGACTGCTCACCATCACAGAGCCAGCTATGACCCAGTCAGAGTCAGAATCTGGGTTTCCAGACTCCAAAGTCAGAGGCCTTTCCACTATTTCACAATGGAAACAGTTTAGAGAGAACCATAGAGAGGGGGGTAGAGGAAATATGGGATTTTTAGTTTTTAAAAAACCACAAAAGTAAACGGCTTACATTGGGTCCTTCCACTCACCCAGTGACCTTAGAGACACTTTTTGGCTGACTCTCCATATCCTCAATTATAAGATGAGGAAGTAACATCAACACCTACCTCATGAGACTGATAAGAGAATCAAATAAGATAATGTGAAAGAGTACTGAGATAGCTTAGGTAGCTGCTAATTACAATCGCTTGGAGAAAAAATCTGTACAGTCACATTAACGAGTAAGTCGTTTAAGAAATTTATGAACAAAACTGGCTTAAGCCCAATGTAATGCATAATTGAGTCTTTTTTTTTCTCCCATGCATTCAAAATCCAAAATATAGTTCAATTTTGCCAAGTTGTATAAAGCCAGGGGGGGAAAGCCTTTTAGGACCACCTTCACTATAACAGGTTTCCTCAATTCTCTCCTCATTTGGGCTTATCTATACATTTTATAAGATTCAAAACTCACCATTTACTTTCTTACTCCTGGTACAAGTTACTAAATCAGCCGGTTGTTGACAATACACCAAGCTATTCTGTGTACATGTGGGATTTGATTGTGAGAATCCAAATACTAGATATATGACCTAATTTTCATCTATGGGCCTCAGTCAAATAGATGAGGGATGCTATTTTAAATGAGATATCCTAGTACACAATGAGTAACAAATTTGACTCGTCCAGGTAGCTGGATACATAAGCCAGTACAGGTGACAGGTGATTCAGGTAATCCCAACACATACAACCCTATGATTCTTTTGACATTCTAAAGATAAAACTAAATTAAACAAAAGTAAAAACTATTGTACCTGTGATAAAGCCTCTTCAGGTGCCATTTCAGCAAACCCAAAGCAGAAGTTACTCTTCAATTCCTGCATCTCTCTCTCCTTCATTTACTCAGCTCTTACAAGATACACATCAAAAGAAATAGCTATTTACAGAGAAAAGCCCTTTGCCAATAATTATCAGAGCCATGGACTATTAGCCATTCATTAATAGCAATCAACTGTTACACTGTAGCTCAACAAACTATCAGCACGTCTATAAGAAGAAACAGTAAATGATAGAGAGAGACACCTTGTGGCATAGAGACTAATGGAATAAATGACCAAAACAACAATCAAGTCTTCAAGGTGTGAGAAAGGAAGGCCCCTAGTTCTCTTCTGAGAGCAACAAGAAAAGGAGTTCCAGAAGACACAAAACCTAGTTGAATTATAAGGTTTAGGGACTACTCTGCCTTCATTTTTAAAAGTAGATCAAATGACACGAAAATCACACACACACACACACACACCGACATTCCATAATTCACTTACGTGCCCACCACGGCAAACGCAGCCCAGCGAGAAGCCAGCAGGAGTGACTCTGATGAGGTTTCCGAGGCTGCAAGGCGGGCTAGGAGAAGACCCCACAGAAGGCATGCTTTACTTAGCTCCGAAGACCACAGTGCAGCAGAGGGAAACAGCACTAAACAGGCTCCACCCCTCCTCAAGTGAGGATCCGCAGCAAACCTCCGGGAGTTTATTGTTCCCGGGAAACTGCAACTTCAGGAAGAGAGAAGGGAAGTGGGCCCATTTGGACAGCAAGGCATGACATTAATCATTAACCAGACTTGGAGGAATACATCTATAAAGTAATTCTGCACAGTACAGCATTCTCTGGCCTTTCTATAAATGCTTCTTTCATTTCTTAAAAGGAAGAAAAACAATATGTGGTCAGTTTCCAGCTGTGTTGATTTCAAAGCAATCTGTTTCCCCTAGCAAGGCTGCCAACCCCTGGCACTAACATTTAATACTGTGTTATAAAAAATTAATGAGGGAGCAATATGAATAATAAAGCTAAGAGGCCGATGATGTTTAATGGCCTTTTCCCTTGATATTCTAAAGCAAAAGTGAAAAAATATAGCCAAACACAAGCTCAATGTTATGTGACATGCTGGTAACAAGCCTTCTCAAAAAGAGAGGCTTCTGTGAATTTCTGGAAGCTCAGCAAGCTTTGCCCTTTTATTGGTGCAAACTGCAAAGGGTAAGCCTCCCTGGCCTGACTGCACATATGCAAGACTGCATGACATCAGCCGTGTCACACCCATGGCTGTTTTCTCTGAAAACACTGTACCCCCACACACATACACACACCCATATATTTGCAAAATTCATCTTAAACCAAAGCTGGGTCACTGTGATCTTGGCCTGGAACAAAATGGCACTGGGAAAAAAACAAAACCTTGCTGATGGTTAGAAAACATTGACCAGGCCACAGAAACGTTCACTCACTTTGCCTGTACTGAAAATGATGGGGTACACAAGACCTCTTGCTTGCACCCACTCGGAGAGGCAGAGCACAAAAGACTCCTCTCATGTGCCTTATTACATAAAACAGAAGATCGCGCTCCCATTCCAACCCAAACAGCAAGAGAATCCCACGGGGTCCACAGAAGGTGGCATCGTGAAGATATGCTGACATCCAAATATTTGTCATCGTGGCCGACGGGGGGGGGGCATAATTATGAGGGTTTATGATTATTGACACTGCTCTACCAAAGGATGGCACTGCTTCCCACGCCAAATTTATTTTAAAAATCTGTTTCCCAATGTGAATGGGGTTGCCCGCCAAGTAACTGGCAACCTGGAGGCCTTGGCTGCCCTCTTCTTAATCCGTGCATCTAGGCTTACGTCCCAAGGGCAGCTGGCACGAGAATCGGCAGAGGTGTCATTCTATGTTATTGAGTCGCAATGATCAGATGCAAGGCAACTAATGAAGCAGGGCAGAGGGCAGGCAGGGCAGGGGGAATGCCGGCTCTGCCATGGTGATGTGAAAGTGGGCACAGATGCTGGGTTTCACCCACCACTGAGACGCCAACCAGTATGGCAGATTTCCTGGGAATTACATAAAATTTAGAGAAGGAATGCTGCAAAGCTCTCTTCAAAATGTGCAGTCATGCCCTGGCCAGTTTGGTTCAGAGGTTAGAGCTTCGGCCTGTGGTCCAGAGAGACCCGGGTTCGGTTCCCACTAAGGGCATGTACCTCGGTTGCAGTTTGTCCCCGGCCCTGGTTGGGCTGTGTGAGTGGCAGCCACTCGATGTGTCCCTTTCACACCGATGTTTCTCCCTCTCTCTCTTTCTCTCTCCCTCCCACTCTATTTGAACAAAAAAATGGAAGAATGTCCTCAGGTGAGGATTAAAAAAAAATTTTTTTTTTAAATGCAGTCATTTCAAGGAGGCAGAGGAGTCTCGACTTGACCTTCATGTTCCCTGTGCCTAAGGGCTGCAGTTCACTGGCGGACGGGAAACTCAGCCTTCTGAAGTCACTTCACTCCCTGCATGCCCCATACAACCTCACCAGACCTTCCCCAAATCACTACCCACACGGGCCAGCCTTCACACTCCAGCATCTAGCACACAACACGAACTCAGGGCGACTCAACCAAATCGCCCGCATTTTAGTTTAAAATGTCCCCTGTGTCTAAAACATATCTCCACGACCGTCTTCCATTTATATTACTCATACCTTTTCTCACAGTCTCAAGTTATTTTATTATTGCATTATAATTTATTTTTTCATGTATCTATTACTTAATTTGTTTACTGTCTGACTTCCCCATATAAATTCCACTGTGATGGCAATTTTTCCCAGAAACAGCAAGGTTGTAACTAATAATTTTTTAAATTTCAGATTTAAGAGGAGACATCATCTATGTCTTTCAGTAGAGTCATGCCATGTCCTCTATGTTTAAAAAAAATAAATAAGGTAACAAGATTCACCAAATATCTGCAAGATGTTCTAAAACTGTGGAAACTGTGGTACACACACACACACACACAATCCCACATTTATACACCTTGGTGTTTTAAGCTTCCAG